TTCCTAACATGGTTTATAATACCATCCCCCTTTCTGTCCCCCCTCCCCTGTATGCCAATGTTTAAATTTTTTTGAGGCTAGGGATTTTAAAAATCCTTACATGCTTGTTAAATAAAACTATTGTTAAATAGTTATTTAAAAACTATTTCTTCATACATGATAAAATTTTGCATTTTCCCAAAGTACTTTACGTGAATTGAAGAAGAGAACTCAGTTACCATTAATCACAACACAGACTTTTTAATATTACTTTCAATAAGAATGAGTTGGATTGTTGCCTAAAATGGACTTAAAGAATGAGTGAGCCAAAGAAACCTTAGATATCATCTAGCCCAAGAGATGAGAAAACCACAGCCTAGAAAATTTCCAGATTAAGCCAGCTGTGGTGGCACACACCTGTAATCCCAGCGGCTCAGGAAGCTGAGGCAGGAGGATGGCAAGTTTGAGGCCAGCCTCAGAAACTTAGTGAGGCCCTAAGCAATTTAGTGAGACCCTGTATCAAAATAGAAAATTTTAAAAAAGGCTGGGGGTTTGACTCAGTGGCAAAATGCACCTAGGTTCAATCTCCAGCACTACCCCCTCATTTTTTTCTGAGGTTAAAAAGAAATCAAAAATTGTATGTTCAATAAAAACATGATCTGATTTACAGAGGTTTGTTTTGTTTTGTTTTGGGACACTAAGGATTGAGCCCGGGGGTGCTTTACCACTGAGCTTCACCCCCAGTCTATTTTTTATTTTGAGACAGGGTCTTGCCAAATTGTGGAGGCTAGCCTTGAACTGCCTCAACCTTGCTGGGGTTACAAGTGTGCTCCACCATACCCAGGTGCAAAGTTTTAAATCACACACAACTTAAAAAAAATAAATAATTACATACTTTCTCTGAAGCAAGCGCTCCTGGCTGTCCAGTACAAGAGTCCGTGGCTGTACACATGGTGGGTGAATATCTGACATTGGACTGACCCGATGGATCAAGATCCCTTTCTGCCTACAATTCCGTCTTGATTTAAGCACAGCCAGTTTGGTGTGGATTCTTCATTGAAGGAAGACAAGCTAACTGAAGGTCAAGGAGGATTCTCTTTTCCCCAGTCACTGAACTTCGTTTGGCCTGAGTCTGTCTTTGGTGATGGACGGAGCCAATCAACCAGGCACACTCCTGGTTCCCTTTCTCTCCTTCCTCTGTTTTTGAAGGGTTTCTTGGCTATACCTCAGGTGGAAATGGGATACTGACCAAAGAAAGACAAGAGTACGCGAACCTTCCTCTAGGATCAGAGGCAGTCTGGAGAAATTGCATGTCACAGCCGCCCACCCCAACCATGGATTTATTTTCTGTGGTTTTGGTACCCATGGCCAACTACAGTCCAAAAATGTTAAACAGGCAACTCTAGGAAAAAAACAAATCTTAAATTCCACTTATTATACATATTGTTGTAATTGTTCTATTATTGTTCATTCTCTTACCACACCTAATATTTAAATCAAACCTTATCATAGGTACGTGTGAATAGGAAAAAACATAGTATATTTAAGGTTCAGTACTAGGCAAGATTTCAGGCATCCTCTGGGGATCTTAGAACATATCTGCTTGCACAAGGGGGACTACTATAAAAGGTGAAATTTGATTAATGAGATTATACTTTCCTATAAACAAATAACAGTGTCAAAGACTTTTACTTTCATCATCCCAACACATTAGCTTTTCATTTTATTGACCCTTAAATCTGATTTCGTCCTGGGGTTGTGGCAGAGTGTTTGCTTGCCTAGCCTGTGTGAGGCACTGAGTTCCATCCTCAGCACCACATATAAATAAATGAATAAAATAAAAGTCCATCAATGTCTAAATAAAATATTAAAAATAAAAAAAGAAATCTGATTTCTGTGCATTCCTCTTTTCCATGTAATGGAACATAATGTTCAGTAAGCAATAATATGTTTACTGAAATGCAAACTAAAACACCTAAAGGTTTTAATCTCAAGGGCATTACGTGGTGAACTTACGCAAGCCTTTTGGTAAAACGTGAATTTTTGAGTGGTATCAACAGCCTATGAAGTGAGGATAGGAGTCTTGTCTTTAAGGAGATGCCCACCGTTTTTGTTTGTTTGTTCTTTTAAGATACACATGACAGGAGAGTCTATTTTGGCATAATATACATACATGCCCACCCTCCTTTAGAAACAGGAAATGTCTTGTAAAACTTGGAGGAGAGAATTAAAAAAAAATACATAATAGAGGAAGCCTTTCTGTTTTAACCCAGCTTTTAATGGCTTTTGCTCCCCTTTTGTTGGAAGCAACTCATGTCTAAGCGTCTTGAAATGAAGTCATCTAGTACCTGGGGAAAAAGAAGTGGGTGAGTTTATATTTTGTTGTCAAATAAGTTTAGTCTCAGTAGATTCCTTTAAAACTTATACGTACACTCTGGATAAATTTATTTATTCACAATGGAGTTTGACCTCTGCTTGTGTGTGTGTGTGTGTGTGTGTGTGTGTGTGTTTTGGTGCTGGGATGGGGAGTGGATGCATTTACCACTAGGATATACCCCAAGCCTTTTTTTCTTTTTAAAGCATTTTTATTTTGGAGTAGTTTTATATTTACAGAAAAGTTGCCAAGATAGTACAAAGTTCTTGTATACGCCTTACCCAGCTTCCCTAATCATCTTCCGACAGCTCAGTCCATGATAATTTTTACAGTGGCACACCTTGTTAAATGTCGCAGAAACTCTGGCTTTCATTTTAGATGCTTGAATGGGAATCACCCTCAGAACCAAGTTGCTGAACAGAATTTCCAAATGTTTCAAAAGAAGCGTGCACTGATCCCTACTTGGGAGCTCCTGTAATTACACAGGAGCATTCTAATTCCTTACTGGGGTTCTGTGTGAGTTTTCTGTATCTTTTTAAGTTCTTTCCTGGGTCTCTTGAGTTTCTTTCCTCTATTTTCTAACAGGTACATTTGGGAAGGTGTCCTAACGCCGTTGGAATTTCGTGCAAGTTAGGACAACAGATACAGTTTTGTCTGTGTCTTAACATTACCCAAAAATATGCCAGGTTTCCTGTGTGAGTTCTGAGTGGAAGAAAGACTGGTTGCATTCATGGAGGAGGAGAGGGGAGGCCGTCTGGTTTTGATAGGTTGGACATCTCAGCAGCACGTTGTCTGGGCCTGCCTGGAAGAGCCGGGATCATCATTTGGGAGCGGTTCCCAGGGAGGCCTGGGCTCCTCACCCACATTCAGCTAGTGCTGACTTGTTGGAGAGCCTTGCTTGCAGGGAGGGACCCCAAATCAGTGGCAGGAAAAGAAAGAAAGTGCTTCCCTGTGGTGGGTGATGCAGAGTGAGGAGTCCTGGGAGAGTTCTCACACTTTTGTGATCCCATCTGTGCATAACACAGCCATTGTTTTCCAATTTTTTTTTTTTTTTTTTTTTTGGTGGTGCTGGGTGGAACCCAGGGCTTCATGCCTGTGAGGCAAGTGCTCTAACACTGAGCTACACCCTACAGCCCCAATTTTTTTTTTTTTTAAACAGTGAAATACTTTCTTTAAAACATGTAGGGACACAGACACACACACAGGGGAAAGTCCAGTTTGTCAGAAAGACGTCAAACAGAAGCAGGTGCAAACTGGCCCTGACGGAAGGACCGAAGCCCTCTGAGGAACACAACTTGTCTCGTAGCACATTTGTGAACCCTTTTCATGAACATCAAACAATAATTTGACAGGCTTTAAAATCTCTTATTCTTGTTCTATTTTGCAGTGTTGGGGGTCCAACTCAGGGGCTCACACATGCTAAATATCTTGACACCAAACAATAGTAGGCAGTGGTATGGTATGATGGATCTTGGCAAATTAAAAAGTGACACTCTTGGTCTGGGGTTATAGCTCAGTGGCAGAGCATTTGCTTAGCACATGTGAGTCTCTGGGTTTGATCCTCAGTACCACATAAAAATAAATAAATTAACTTTTTTTTCAAGCACATCCTGCTTTTAAAATAAAAAGTAAGCCTCTTTAGTTATACCTTGCTCTCTAATGGATTCATTTATGTTGTGGAGCAAATTAAATTCCTCTAGTCTATTTCTTTAAAGTATGGACAATGTACAACTTTTTTTTTTTCCCTCTTGCCAACATCTCCATTGTTCGAAGGTTTCTGCTACTTGTCTTCCAGAACTGTACCTCATTTGCATGTACATTGAAGGAACCTCATTGTTGAGAAAAGTATTGATCCATCTTTCAAGGAGAAGGGTCATTAAAAATACTTAAAATTTCCACCATTTCCTTAAACCATGATTTCTTTACCATTATTGTCTTTTACTGTGATGGCCGAAGGTACTTTTGTAGAATTAGCTTTTCTCTCATCTCCTGCTTTTTCCTTTGGCCAGACTTTCTGGTGACATCTTCATGCTTAGTATCCAGTGCTGTGAGGTCTTCTTGCAGAGGGACTCATGGTGTTGGGGACATGGCATTATCAACTGCTGTGGGCCAAATTGGGAAGGGTGATAAATAAATGGAAATAGCTCCCTGTCATGACAAAAGAGATGTGTCTTTACATTTCAGAGGAATTCTCTGGATGGGATCATAGACCTGGGAGAAAAAGTGCCATGAAGGACATTATTGGCTAAGTTGTGAAAATCGAAAAGTTCTCTAGATTAAACACTAGTATTATATCCATTCGAATTTCCCCGATTTTAATATTTGTTTTGTGATTTGATAAGTGAATTTCTTTATTCTTAGGAAACACATGCAGAAATATTTGAGGGTAAAAAGACATGATTATTCTCAAGTGATTAATGAAAAAAATATATATATACCCATAAATAAGTGAATCCACATATGCAGACAGGCGAGAAGGAAGTACAGCCAAATGTTAGTAATCGGGGCATCTGGGTGAAGAGTCCTGGTGAAGAGTCTCGTGGGAGTGTTTTTGTCTTGCGTTGGCAACTTCTCTGAACATTTCGAATTATTTCAAAATGGAAAAGAAGCTACTTCACATCTGATTTCTTTGTGTTTACCTCCTCAGTCAAACTGGCACCATGTCCAGGCACCAGAACCAGAACACCATCCAGGAGCTCCTGCAGAACTGCTCCGACTGTCTGATGCGGGCCGAGCTGATCGTGCAGCCTGTAAGCCTCCCCGTTCCCCCGCTTGCCTCACCCACCTGCAGCTGGGCCCCGTGGGCTGTGGCTCTCCTGGTCCCCTCCAGCACATCCCCATTCTCTGACCTGTTTTCCCTGCTGCATAGTTAGAAGTGGTCGTTTCCAGAACAGGCTAGAGAGGGCCATCATCTTAGTCTGTTTTCTGTTGCCAGTAACACAATGCCCCAGACTGGGGTACATTATTTAAAAAAAAAAAAAAAAAAGAAAAGAGGTTTATTTTGACTCCTAGTTCTGGTCCAAGGTCAAGGGTCACATGTGGTGTTTTTCCCTGGGGTAGTGTGGGGCATCACATGGAAGAGACAGAGAGCCTGCAAACTGGCTTTTATAACAGACCCACTCTGAAGATAATCCATCAAACTATTAATCCATTAATCACATGAATGGATTAATGACCTCTTAAAGTTCCACCTCTTAATATTTCATCATAGGGACTGAACCTCGGCAGATGTTGACATGACCCGTGGCCACCTCTTTGGAACCGCAGCATCCTGTTGCTATTTATGTGACTTTGTAATCTTTTCTCTTCCTAGCAATGTAACCCATGGTGTTTCTATCACTGGATTGGGATGGATTGTCATGGGCACCATCAAATTAATAAAACGGCTTTTGTAAGGGAAAGTGACCATACCAGGAAGATAATTCTGTTTGGGAAGCATAAAAAATATGAAAAAATAAACAATTGAAATTTGAGGGAAAAGGGTGGCATTTGTGAGAATCTGGAGCTCCTATGATGACTGAGATCTCTTAACTCTCTTCCAATTGGGGTCAAAAAACATGAGTTCTGTGATATTTGCTATAGAAAGACTTCATTTTAAAATATCTTAGCACTCACATTTGCTCCAGGTTTCTGAAGAAACAACTAGAGAATGATGGGGAAATAGCCACCATTTCTTCCTTTTTCTGAATGATTCTTTGCAACAAAATAATCAGGTTCCACTCTCCCCCAAGCTGACATTAATGTTGGGGTTATATCTGAAGTTGACCTAATCACAGAGTACCTCTGTTAAATAGTCTATATTTGAACCGATTTAAAACAAGCAAATGTATGGCTTCTTCTGTTTGAAGAGTATCTCACTGCTCTGATTTCCTAGTTTACATATTTTGTGAATTCTTGTTCTGGTTTATTTTATCCCATTAAGAAAATATCTTTACGACTGAACACAGTGGCACATGCCTGCAATCCCAGCAACTCAGGAGGCTGAGGCAGGAGGATCACAAGGTTGAGGACAGCCTCAGCAATTTAACCAGGCCCTAAGTAACTTAGTGAGACCCTATCTCAAAATTTAAAAGAGCCAGTGATTACCTGGTCATAGTGGCACATGCCTGTAATCCCAGCAGCTCGGGCCGCTGAGACAGGAGGATCATGAGTTCAAAGCCAGTTTCAGCAACATTAAGGCGCTAAGCAACTCAATGAGACCCTGTCTCTACATAAAATACAAAATAAAGGCTGGGGATGTGACTCAGTGGTCAAATGCCCCTGAGTTTAATCCCAGTACAAAAAAAAAAGAGGATTTAACTCCGTGATAAAGTGCCTGCAGACACTGGGCTCAATCTCCAGTACGAAAAAAGAAAATAATCATTGCTTAGTCCATGTAAAAATATATTTGAGGGTCAGCAAACCAGCTTGGTTCTGGTTCTGGTTCTGGTTGTTTCAGGCCTCTGATTTGAAACAGACTTCCCTCAATGTTCCCAGTGCCCAGATTCCTTCACACAAAGCTAGACAGGAGAGCGGTCAGGGACAACAAGGAACATACCCACCCCATCCCTGGACTCAGTAGTGACTGTGGTTACATTTCCCATGTAGTTCTAGAAATTTACATGGATCACGTTCCCACTTTATTTCTACTTATGTGCTTTGAAGTGCAATAAAAACACAACCGGGAAACGGTATCGTATTTGCTAACATTGCTGCCTTAGAGAAATGAGGTTCATTTGGCTGAAGCCAAATGAAAGCAGCAAAAGTAAAATTCTATAGAGAAAGCTCCTGTGTGGTCCTACAGCAATGGAAAATTTTCTCTCTTGAAAAACAAAAAACAAACAACTTTTATTTTGAGATAGTTGTAGACTCACAAGAAGAACAAGACATTATAGACTCACTTGCACGAACATTGCAGATCAGGGCTGGGGATGTAATTCAGTGCCAGAGCGTATACCTAGTATGTGCCCAAGGTTTAATCCCCAGCATTGTAACAACAAGAACAAATAAATAATAGTACCAAGCAGCCTTGTGTGTCCCTCACCTGGCTTCTCCTGCTGCTGATATCTTACAGAACAGAAAAGCATCATCAAAACCAGGACGCAGATTGACCCAGTACAGTTAACCAAATAGAAGCTTTATTTTAAGATCTGAAAAAGTCTTGTTCCTATAAAAATGCAAAAAAAAAAGCTCATTTGGTATGTGAAAGGCCCTAGGTGGTGAAATGGTTACAGTGTTCTTACCACTGTGAAATCCCAGTGAATCAGAGTTCCATATAAATATGAAAGATCCACACTCAACATTGAAGCAAGGGGAAGATGAGCGTTCTGTAAATTTGCCTTTAAAATCCAGGTGCAAATGTAAAAGACAGCCCACAAATGTTAGTTCATGATTTTCTCTCTCTGTTTACTTCCTTATCTCAAATTTGTAAGGTCATTTTCAGTTAATTTTTTTTTTTTGCATTTCCAGTGGGGTGCTTTATATTTCTTATATCTACTATAGAAGTTTTTGCTCTCCTTAATGCACAGGAATCCTTTCTTTGCAGTAACTTGTGTTTTCCTTCCTGTGAATTCTCTCTTTTAGGAACTGAAATATGGAGACGGAATACAGCTGGCTCGAAGTAGGGAACTGGACGAGTGCTTTGCACAGGCCAATGATCAGATGGAAATCACTGACAGCTTGATCCGGGAGATGCGACAGATGGGCCAACCCTGTGATGCTTATCAGAAAAGGTAATGTCCCCAGAGCACGGATCAGGAGGCTCGTGAGGAATGCTGCACACCCCATTGTGCTCGGTCCATGACCTGTGTCTTCCTCTGGAGGAAGCAGACCCATGCCGAGGAGAACCTGCCTTCCTTGGCCTTTCATACCTTCACGATCTGTAATACAAATGGACCAAACCACTGCCCTCTTCTGTGCAATCACAAAGCTGCCATGAGAAGAATTGAGCAGAGCTGCCTAAGAGCGTGTGGCCATTCAAAAACTCTAGGTCTTATTTTGAAGCTCTGAGTTCATTAGGTGTCAACTGCACCTCCATCTAGAGGGCAGCAAAGCTCTCTGCCCAGCATCTGACTTTTTAGGAGTCTAATAAGAAGTCTGGTTTAGTGAATATGAAAGTGAGAGTCTTGGACTTGGACATGAAGCTGGGGTGTGCATTCTGAACTTGCTCCCAAGCCACCTGGGGTCCAGGGTATTAGGAGAATCCCCGGGACAAAACTCATGAGGAATCAAAAGGTGTTATACCAGGTTAGGCAAAGGCAGTGACATTTTCCAAGATGTTTCTGGCTTTAAGCATCTTCCTAGGACCTAACATATTTGAATTTTTTTTTTTTAATTTTTGGGATAGGTTTTTGTCAAGTGCTGAGGGTAGTCTTGAATTTGCTACCCTCCTGCCCCAGTCTCCCAAGTTGCTGGGATTACAGGTGTGTGTCACCACACCTGGCTGGACTTAATATTTTTGTATGTGATCAAATTTCAAGTCATGTGATAAAGCAAATAAATATTCAAATTAAACATTGGTGGCTTCTACATGGACCCAAAGGAGATGCGGAGAGGGGGGTTGGTCCTGAATGTGTTTTCATAGGCTGTTTTCCTGTAATGATATCGTTTCTATTCTTTCCTTTCAGGCTACTGCAACTCCAGGAGCAAATGCGAGCCCTTTACAAAGCCATCAGTGTTCCTCGAGTCCGAAGGGCCAGCTCCAAGGGCGGAGGAGGATACACTTGTCAGAGTGGCTCCGGGTGGGATGAGTTCACCAAGCGTCTCACCGGCGAATGTTTAGGATGGATGAGACAACAAAGGGTGAGCAGCGCCCAGAGGGACAAGTGTTGGTCCTTAGACCCCCAAACCTAGGTATCTTAGTTGTGTAGAGAGCGGTGGGTGAGCCCCAGGGTTCTGGTCACCAAGGACTTCAGGTGGCAATGACCGCTTGTGTCTGCCTGCTAAATCACATCATTGTTCTACCAAGGTAACTGACCTCATCTATGTTGCAGATAGGTACTTAGAAAAAAAGAAGAAGAATATTGTGGTGGTTCATTTAAAGTATTCACAAATTGGAAGTGCTGGGAACCGTCAAAATGGACGTTCTGGTTTGGGCTCCTCGGTGGCCTGCCTGGTGGTTTTGAAGTGTCAGTTGTCTGGTTGGGCAACCCTCACATCACTGGTGTGGGAGTGAATTAAAATAGTGGCAGCAGAAGTATGTGTTGATCCTTTCCCTAGAACCGGGGTTTCTCCAATGTCTATTTCAATGCTAATTATTGTTTTGTTGTTTTATGTACTAATTATGCCCTATAATGAACAGGTGGCAGGGTAACTACGCCATAATCAGGGAGATGGGAATTTTATAATGAAAACCTACTCCCAATGAACCATCTTTCTCCTGAGAAGGTGGATATGTTAGAATGATACCCTGTGGAGAGATTGTTATGCAACAGCCTTGTGGTTCTAAGAGCTTGGTGGGTTGTAGGACCATTTTAGCACTCATTCAAAAATTTCGCAGCCACTTTTTTTTTTTTGACACTGAGTCTCACTGTGTCTCCAGGCTGCTCTCAATCCCTGGGCCCAGGCAGACCTTCTGTAGCTGGGACCACTCTGCTGCACCTGGACTTTTAGAATTTGGGGATCTGTTCTTTCCCTTCATTCACTCATTCATTCAGTTAACCTTGTCTCCTATTTTTCATAAAGTCTGTAAGTATTAGAGAAGGTGGTGTACAGAGAGGAAAAACTAGGAATAACCTTAGAAACTTTAAATATAAACCTCTTGGCATGTTTTCAAATTCCCATCAAATCTTTGGATGTACATTTCCTGAGGATTTTATCTGTACTCACTGTGCCAGAAATGGAGGTCTCAAAAATTCTGAGCCATAAATCTGAAGATGAAAATTATTGAAGAAAATAAGGTACACCCACATTGCCCAATTGTTGCCATGTGAGAGCTGTAGTAAATTTTTTTGCTTTGCTGGGGGTGGGGTGGTGGTGCTCCAGCCCCAGTGACAGGAAGAACTGATGGGGTTTGAACCACACCTTAAGGATCCTTAATGGGAGGCAAAACAGCCTTTGAACCAAATTAATTATGAAGCATCATACAGCCGAATGTCTTCCAAGTCGGTAATGACAGTTGTATAAAACGACAGCTCATACTTTGCCCTTTTCTGTATTCCTGCCGGGTGCTGCTTTGGAAGAATACTTTGTAGTAATGGCTCCACATTTTTAAATGTCAGAAAGGGCATCATCACAGGGACTCAGTTTTATGCTATTTTCTGAGTCAGTGATGAGGGATGCTTTCAGATCCAGCAGGTGGTTCTCATAGCTCCCTACAAACCAAAAGCTGTTTGATCTCTCAACTGCAGGTTCACCCTGGGATTCCCTCTGGCCCTTTGCCCCCAATTCCTTCTTCTCCCTTGCAGAGCCTGCATTCCTCATTCCTCCAGGGAGACCCAGCTGCAGGCTCTGCTGATAAGGGAACCTCTTCCCCAGCAGCGCACACCTCCTGGGCAGGTTTGTGTGGCTTCCGAGACTTGGGTTTCTGCTGATGGACGAGCCAGATAGGATACACCTGGTCGGTAGAGAATAGTGTGAGCGGGAGCCCAGTCACCTCCCTATCTCCCCAGCACACACACCTGCTGCTTCTGTTGAACAAGCCAGGACAGCCATGGGAGACAAGGGTCAGAGTCCCCTGGGAAGGGAACCTTCCGTGATCTGGCTCTGAAATGGCTCCCCTTTCTGACACTTTGCCAAGTGCCCTAGAACATGGATGTGGCTTAAGAACAATCTGCATTGTGTTCCTGCTGACATGCCAGCCTGGAATGTTGGCCCCGGGCATGCCCGGGAGATGGTACAGGTGATTTGGAAATTTACATGTACTCATGCAAAAGAAGGATGAAATAATAGACTTGCCCCAGAACAAAATTTGTGGAACTATGCATTTGATTTTTTTTCTTCTGTTCAGCCTTCTTAGATTTGAGATCCAAATAATAAATCTAGCTAGATTTAACTTTGTAAAGAGCTAACGTAAGTCCACAATCTTAACATTGCCAACGTTAATTGAAATGAAGACTTTGAGTTTATATAGTAACTTTCTTTTGAAGTGGGCCATAGGGAGTTTTGCATCTGGAAAGGGAATGATAACTGCTGGGCTTTTGAGTCAACAATGAACATTTATCAAAATAATTTAGGGCTGGGGTGTCACTCAGTGGTAGGGTGCTCATGTAGTCATGTGCAAGGCCATGGGTTCCAGCCAGAGGACTGCAAAATAATAATAATAATAATAATAATAATAATAATAATAATAATAATAATAAT